AAAAGCTACAACCCTGCAAAACCGAAGAAATTCGCAGTCGAATATCCCAGTAATTCATTTTCAACATTTTTGGAGTACAGTTAACCACTATTTTTAGATAGATTTTTATTTCTATGTCTTTGAGATACACAAGATAACGCACAAGTGTTTAAAATCCTATAGTATAAATTTTGTTCAGTGTGTATGGAAATAATGGCCACAGTTCACACGTTCATATTTGGGAATGGGAACAAATATTCCTGCCGCGAATTGTTGTGTATACAGACCACAACAATATCTATTTAATGGGAAATTACAGCCTTAATTATATACTTATTTGAGACTTGCATTAACCGCAAAAAGTAAAGCGTCGTTTTACCTTAATTAGGGAACAGAAGAAAGCAGATCAGCTTGCCGAAGTTGTTACATATGGCTGCATTCTTAGATCTTTGACTGAACCTGTTCGGTCACAATATGTCACTTCTCAGCTCTTTAAAAATACGATCTTGATTTGCAGCTTGAAATCAATTTTCTTCGATATATTTTTACAAACTACGCAATCTTGCATGGAATACGGTTTTAAAGTGAAACTGTAAAGCGGTATGAGGAAGATTTGTTCTTACTATTAGCAAATTGTTTTGATAGCTTAAGCTCAAATGTGAAAGAAATGATCACACCTTTTGGTTAATCGTTATTTTGAAACAAAAGGCATACATTCTTTATTGTTGTGAATCTTTGGATACACCACAAAATTAGAATGTCAGAATTATTGTTGAGAGTCAAACATTCTTTTATACCCAAAATAAAGGTGACGTACAAGATTCGACGATTCCATGTAGATGGAAAAAAATGAAACTAATTACATTATTTAGAAGCTATTTGTTTTCCTGATTGAAATTTGTCAGTTTTCACCTGTACACTAATAAGTTGAATGCAATGATGGAAATCTTGTTGTGTTTTAATGATAAAAAGAATAAGTTTTTAGTGATATTCAGATCATCTTATAACCTGACCGAAACACATTTTCTTACAACCTCCTTCAAAGTAATATATATATTTTATAATTCCATTTGTTTTTGTTTGGAGACTGAAACAAATGCTTAAAACATTTTAACTGAAAATGATACCTTAAGAAATTTTGTTTGAATATTCATTTGTGAGAGATTTCCTGCCCATTACTCACAGTTGACTTATTCATTTTTACTGACATGGACAAAAAAAATTACCATAATTTTTAATTTTTTTTTGCATTATAATTATTACATTTTGTTTTTTAGAAAAGAAACATTTAACCTTTCAAATTTCCCCCACTGCTAGATTGTTTTGATAACTCCTTCTTACCATTGTTTAGCTGTACTGTCCTTAAGAAAACCCCAACTAATTTCTCTCCAGGTAAATGTTCAATGAACTAGGAGTTTTAGTATCAGAGTAGGGGATGGCATTAGAGTTCAAAAAAAACACTGTCAATACAATCTTGGCAGGTTTGATAAAAACAGCTCTAGTTTCTGGGTTTTGGAACATAATTTGTGCGACTCGGTTGAAATTGTGAATCTTTTTAGAACTGAACAGTTTGTTTGTTATTTATTTTGCCATGAGTTTGGTGAGNCCTAGTCGCTTCATGCTACAGAAACCGGGATAAGCTCTGGCCTGATGGGCCACTTGGCTTGTACGCAGACTTTACCTTTTTTACCATACAGCAGGTACTATTAAGTGGGCAAGATAGTGCCATCTTGCCCACTTGGGAAGCCAATCACAGCACAGGATTCGGTTCATCTTGCCCACTCACGGAGCTAGCGATATAATAAATATTAGACTGTTGCTTAAGTATAATGTTATTGTCATCTGTATTGGTCTAAATTAGGGTATGGTTTGTGTATTTGGGCCAGAAAATAGGTATAATTCTTAGAATTTTTATCATGATTACAATAACACTATTCATCGAGTGAAAAGTGCATTTCATTATCAGCATGAATTGAAAGCTCTTCTTAAAGTTTATGCAGACCAAAGCACACTGTAGTTCCCTGGAAGAGTCTGGCTGGCAGTAGGGTATCTATATTTGGGTCAGATATGAAAGAGAGTGTGAAATGTTTTTGTCTGAAATAGAGAATAGTTTCCTGATTGAGAAGTGTGCCACAGACCCACACCCACATTTTTGGGTGTCCCCTGGCCCCATTTTGTCAACCATCATATGGTAGGCTTGTTTGTTTGTTTTGTTTTGTTTTGTTTTGTTTTTTTTGTTCATGTTTGTCATGTCCTGCGACATTGAAACCATTTGGTTGTTTACTTTGTTCAGGTGTCAACATCAGAAGGTCAAGAATTGGCCAGCGAACTTAAGGTACAAAATCAGGGTACTTACCTACCGAGACATGTAAAAAATCTGAATTTGCCAGTACAACAAACATTAGGGGTGCAAGACAACACCTGTTCCATCCAGCCCAGCAATGCAGAGAACTCATATCGCTACAACTCCTTCTCTTCTTGGCATGCGTTACCACTGGAAATTACATGTTGTGAAATTAGGCCTGCTCTAAGACTCCATCTCTTTGAATAGTTGCACAATGGGCACCAAAAATTCTAAACTCAAGATTCATGCATGCTTTTATTAAAGGGGCAAACAAAGATGCCAAGATATCCATGAAGGGTTTCAGCAGCACTAGATTCAAACAACGTTTCCAAGAAAATATACACTTGGACTTCTTCAACCTCCCCCAATAGGCCTGGTCAACCATATGTGTAATTAGTATCTCAAGGAAAGATCCTACACTTGCAACTGTTACTTGAATGTGTTTTGGGTGGTCCAACCCACTCACTGTCTTTTTGCATTTTTGCACTAAGACATTTTTTGACCATATTTCCAAACACCAAGAAGAAAGTTGAAAATATGATGTGCAGCAGATTATTTTTGAAGAACTTTGAGGTCCTTTGAACTTTCAAAATGTGGTCAAACACTGTTTTGGGTGTTTGATACATGTATATCTTCTCAATCGGAACTAAAACTAAGGAGCAAACAGAGAAATATAAGCATAAAAATCTATGTTAATTAAGATCAGATATCCAAACACTTGTCACGGTCATAATTTCCTTTGTTTAAACTTGATGAATCATTATGAGTTTGAGAAAGAAATTGTATTAATTAACCCAAAGTGAAGGTATTACTTTTGAAGTAACTGACCAGCATTGCATCATCTGTTATACAGATTGAATACATTGAAACCAGCGCTAAACAAAGAACCAATGTTGATGCTGCATTCCACGACCTTGTAAGAGCAATCAGGTACAGCATGGTTTTTTTTGTGTCTGTACTGTAGTCTTTGCACAGCAGTACGCGTATCGACCTGGCCATTTGTCATAACTTGATTGTGACTATAGGAAAAACACAAAGACCTAGAGAACCTACATTTTGGTAATAGGTTAAATTTATACAGCTTTGTGTGCTCTTTGCAGGAAATTTTACGCCCAGATGGATGAGCAAGAAAAGAAAAACAAAAACAGCAATAAAAGGAGATGCTTAATTTTGTGACACAGTTTGCTAGTTTTGTTCGATTAGGACTTTCTATTTGTTAAAATGTTTATGTTACAGTATGAGATGATTGAATAGTTGTCAAATTTCAGAACTTATCGCTGCTTGCATGCAAAGAAACAGATGAGCGCTAGTAACAAAAAAGTATCATTCCAAGTTATTTTTGTACAAAATATGCATGTGGTACTAGACTTAACTAAAGAATACAGGGCCGTGTCTATAGCCAGGGACTTTTTTCAAAAATTCATTGTGTGAGATCAAGAGAAATGTGTGAATTTTGTTGTCATACAGAGCGTCGCACTTACTTCAAACTTTGTTAAACATGGGCATGTGAATTTATTTTGTACCCTCTTTTTTGTCATGATCAACAAAACATTCCTAATGTAAACAGAGAAATTTATGAACATTACTGATCATGAACGAAACGAACCGTACTACCAGGACTTTAATCACATTTTGCTAATTAATACATGAGACATTGGGAGATCATTCGCAGCAGACCTCGCAGAAATATATGTCTTTTAACGTGGCCCTGAATTCTGCCAGTAGTTCAAACTATAACAAGTACAGTAGGAAGATAGAGTGTCGTTGTTTTAAGAAAAAAATTCCATCATAAAGAGCTTTTTACGTAACAGTTGCAAATATTTATCACAGGATTACTATATTTTTTCATATTTTTTTTCAGTCCTAAATACATAATAATGTAGTGGTTTTCCTTTAAGCAGTGTATGTTGACGTAACGAAGCATTGGGAAATATTCGCTTCAAACTAATTAATAAATGGAAATGTAGATTTCCTCGATTAGTTGCAACAAAATATATTTTTTTAACTGCCAAACGAATGAGTCGGTTATTTTCAACTTTGTCCATATTACAAACTTCCCTGTCGATCATCACATTACCTCGCAAGCTGCCTTTATGTTTTTTAGCGCTGTCCTACTAAATCAGACCATAGGAGTGTCTTGAGACCTTGCTGAATAATTTAATCATGGTTGGCACCTGTCCCTCTAAAGGGCCTTTATTTTGTAAGCTATTGTGTAGCATACGACTGAGCAGCTTGCACGTCATACCTTGGTTATGTAATGCAATGGCTTTTGCAAATGTACAGTGGAACAAAAATTCTCATGGTTATTCTTTTCAGTTTTCTTCATTACTCTCCTAGCACTTGCCGATTTCGTCAAAAATGTCTAATTTTAAGTACTAGCCATGTTAGAAATAACTTAACAGGGTACGTTTTAGTTCATATGAGTTTTCAATTATTAAGTTTGCAAATTGCGAGTGTCTGAAATGGAGAAAATTAAAGCAATCATGTAGTTATGACAGGGGAAGTTGCTTAAGTAGCTGTTAAAAATAGCGCATACGATCCTACTCTTTGGCAATAAATTAATTTCTCTGTATCTTTTTGAGTTCTGTTCATAAAAGTAATATTGAAGTAATGTTTAAGAGCAGTGGGTGTTTTTTCCTCCAAGAAACGACAAACAAATCGTTGAAACTTCAGACGATGTAAATTTAGGCGCAGCTCAGGGTTGGTTACGTCAGTTGAAGTCTCACTTGAGTGTCGTCCATGGCATTTACGCCTCCATTGTGCTATGTCACTTCCATTGGCGGATCTAGTTGGGGGGGAGATCGCGCCCCCTCCCCTTATTTTGGGTTAAAAAAGAGGAAATCGCAGAAGGAAGAAAAGACGACAGGGCATGCAAAACAAAACCGGGGCCCCCCTTAGCTCAAGGTCTGGATCCGCCGCTGACTTCTACCTCATTTTTCGCAAATGCCGCTATTGACGTTCAGCCCACCTATTAACCAAGAAATGCTGAAAAGATTAGTCGTGAATAAATAGGTTTACTAGTTTCGTTATTTTTGGGAAACGTTATCATGATAACTATTCACCATGCATAGGGTAGACCCTCTCTAGTCTTTGTCAAATATACATGTATATACACAACAATTAAAGTGGAAGTCTTGAATCCTGCCAGGTATGTCGTAATGTAGTTGCCATGTGACATGAATGATTTGTTTAAGATAGTTTTGAGCTTGCTTGTTCCGGTAAACGTGCGTTGCAGCCATTTGACGTAAGGGTTCCTCTTTCAGGCTGGAGGTTTGATAAGAGGGTAGGGACTCTGAGCTGAATTAGTAGGAGAAATTGGTAGGGGAAACTTAAAAAATATTTCGAACAGACGCACCTAACAGCTGAAGCTGACTCAATTCAAATTTAAACGTATAGAAAAGGGATACAATTTGCCTACTGTGGATATGTCGAAAAGGGTACCTTTTTGTAAGGAAGGTATGACATAAAAAAGCTATAGGGCTTAGATCTCGGGTTATTGTTAGCCTGTTTATAGGCGTTTGATTCAGCTACCACTTGCCGCAATTCTCTGCGCTGTAGCTTCTCGAACTAGGAAAGGCTACTGGTTGTGCTTCTCAGCATCTTGAACACGTGCAGTTCTTTTTCTCTTTGAAACGACCAAACAGAAAAGAGAAGAGTATAGATATAGGTAAGCTTATTTCGAGTGGCTTATTCCCGACTATCTGCTTGTGTTGGAAGAACAGGAGATCAGATGGCCAGCGCAGTTTTGACAACAAGGTTACCTGTCATGTCGGTGGTTCATCTTCAGTTATTTCTCCCGTCGGTTTCACTTGCGACGCAAGCATAAGCATAAACGTAAGTGTAAGACACTTATGCGCTAGTGAGGACGGCCGCGACATAAGCATAAACTTTCTTCTTATGCTTATGCTTATGTTCAGTGAGGACATCGTTGACTTAAGCATAAAGTGCTCGCTGATTGGCTGATAGTCTTACGCTTATGCACATGTTCATGCTTATACCAACCGCTTATGCCAGCATGTCCTCACTGGACACAATAACGACATAAGCATAAGCATAAGAAGAACGCAAGGTTTTGATATTCTTAGGCTTAGAGTTATGCTTATGTCGTGGCCGTCCTCACTGACATAAGCACATGCGTAAGCAGAACGGTAGTGAGCACGCCCAGAACACGAACATAACCACGAAGGCATGCGTAGAATGGATAATTGCCTTGTTCTGCTTGTTCTTGTGCTTATGCTTGTGTTGTGCGCGTCCTCAGTACCGTATGCTTGAGCTTAGCATATGCTATGGGCGTTCTCACTACCGTTATGCTTAAGCTTGTGCTTATTTTGAATGTCGTACAGCGGTATTCTCGTGATGCGTGATTAGCTGATTTTATTTTCCGTGAAACGTGGATTCAGGAAATTATTCTTCATGATCCGTGACCAAAAGGTTTTGCGTGACCCGTGAAGAACTTGAATTATTCACCGATATTCGTCATTTCACCACTCAACTCTACGTGATTTTGAGACGCGGGTCCTCCGAATGTCTGTCGAGAGTGACTTAGACATGCGATTTACAATATGGAGCCTTGACTTAGCCTTTCATTATTTTTCCTTCTTCAAACACTTTTTCTAGTGTAAGAACAGGTTACTAAAAAGAGTAGCCTACTTTCTTATTTTTGCGATTCTGGAAAACGAAATTTTTACATCCATGATCCGTGATCCTCAATTTTTTCCGTTCGTAAACCGTGCCATAGACCCCCCCTGTACGACTCTCTATGTTGTAGTGAAAACCAGGCCTTAGGTGTATGGGTATTGTCACCCTTCAGTGGACGAAATTAAATTTTATAAGCAATTTAGTCACGAGTACGCTCTTTTTTATAAGAACGCCAGGGGATGTGAGGCTGAAATTTCAGTAGTAAAAGAACTTATTTGTTTTCTCCACTTGTTTTGTTACAAGCTTTTAGTACGTGTCTAAATAATATTTCATTAATTGGTCTGGATAAATTCAAGCTCGAAATGACTTTGACGTACGTTTCCCGGTTACGTTCACGGTTCAGGTTGATTTGCTGAAAGACTGAAATCGGTGTAACCATGCAGGTAAAACGTACAAGAACCTTTTTGTTTCATGGGCCCAACAACATTCTGTTCCAGCTGATCTTCAGCTCAAAAACTAAATGTTCACTCTGAAAGATAGTGGTAGTATATAATATATATCAACAGAAACTACACGTACGCTTATCTAGTCTTTACGCGTGAGGGTTGGTAGGAGGCCAGGTTTTTTAGTCTGGTTTCGCAAGCCCACGGACAAGGTCATCTGTCACGCAGTTGAGATCAGTCCACATCCAGAGGTCCACATCCTTGGAGGGGGGAGGCAAGGGACCCTATGGTGTTGAAATGTCCTGCCTAAGTACGATCCGGCCAACACAGGCTCTTCTAGAATTTAGCCTGCGTCTCAGACAGAGTAAACCGCCGGGCTATATTGCGGATTTTGCGACACGTCCAGCTGTAACGCAGTATACTAGAGCGAAATTCCCGTACCGTCTCATCTACGTCACAAGCTGCGTCACACACAGTCTAAACCGCCGAACTATATCGCGGATTTTGTGACCATCCGGTTCTACTATAAATTGGCAAATTATTTCCTCTCAAATGTCAGTTAAGTTCGAAACTCCCGTCACATCTACGTCACAAGCTCATACGGTTTGGTTTCCTCTATAGTTTGTGCGTCATTCATACCAGACCACATGCAACCTGGAGAGGAGGTCTTCTTGCCATCACACCCTAAACTGATCCACAAGAAATAACGGGCCTCTTTCTCACCATGTTATATTGTTCGTTTGAATAAGTTTCTCCACCCCAGGATGGTCGGCTCCACCTTTTGTACCCTCATAACGACAGGATGTGCTTAACTTGTAGTTTCTGAGGCGTTGTAGTTTTAAATTTTCAGTGGAACATGATGGTCTCTCAACCCTTTGAAAATTCCTTACCCATCATTTCTAATTCTAATTCTAACCCTAACCCTCAATGAAGAAGTCGAAGGGGTCTAAATGAACCGGCCCCTCTTCTCAAATGAGGTTAGCACTGCCACCATTTGAGGGTCAGTCATCGCCCAGAATGCCACGACATAGGAGTAATCAGACTTGTACATGTAATCTCTGCTTGCTCAGCCTTACAAAATAGTTTTTCTCCAGCCAAGCTCCAGGCAATAACCACTTTGCTTTTGAAAGTGAATGCCATTGTTCTCATTCTCTATTCTTGAGTTACACCATGTGTTCCAGAAGGCGACAACGTGCCGAAAGAAAGGGCCTTGTGAGCATGCTCTGTCTGTCAACCCCTGCACAAAAACCCATTCTTCTGTCGTTTCTTTCTACTCAGCTGTTGCACAAAGCAGGTACTTGCTTTGCGCACTACACCGCTGCTAAAAAGCTTTTCATTTACTGGACAGTATTTCTTCGCGTCATGTTCGCGTCGCACAGACCTCGAGTTTTTCGCTCGCGTCTGGGCTGTTGCATTTGTGGCGCGAAGTCTTCGAGTTCACGATTCACCTCCTCGTCTAAATACGAGTTGCTGTTTAGCGGTTGTTTTCAATTGAATGAAAAGAGGCAAGGAGAGATCTGCAATGCTTGTGTACTTCTCGTTAAAAGATGGAAGAAACTACCGCCTGGCAGCTCGAAAAACTGGAAGCATGTAAGTAGAGAAATGTCCATACATTTGGTATTCTACGTTTTGCGCAATTGCTGTCAGTTTATCGGATGTAACTTAAGTTTTGGCTCAATATATTTTCCCCGTTGCAGGTTGTAGACAGTAAAGCAACTGTGAAAAGAACTACCAAGCCAAGAAGAAGTTCTAGAACTTTGAACGTTGAAAACGAAAATGAACTGACTTCTAAGCTGAACGGAAGAGCAACAAGTGGTCGCAACGGCAGTTGCGGCGAACAAGAAACTCGAGGTTTGCTTTGTGGCCTTGTTGTTTTAATATCATCTCTTGGTGACACTTTTCACATCTAAAGAATTTTTTTATCGGGATATCTTTATGACAGTCATACTGTGTTTTGTGGGTTAGCCCAATGGTGTGCTCTTTAGAGATCAGAGAAATAAAACAGGCCATTGCTATAGAATTTTGGGACCTTTTGACTGATAAAAGAAATCAATCCATGGGTGAATTAATTAAACAGGGCCGTTTGTGACAAAGTAGTTCCAACTCGTGTGTAAATAATTTCTTCTTTCAAGAAACAGACGTGACAAAAGAAAAAAAACTTAAACCCAATTTAAGAATTCAGTGTTTGTCAGCTGGGTATACAGGAACCATAATGACCTGATGAAAAATAATTAACAATTATTCACCGAAGTCGAGGTAAATATCCATCACTTTCACCGACACTGAGGTGAATAACTGTTTTAGTATATACCACACAAGCTGAATAATTAGCGGACCAAAACTTTATTTTATGAGTGACAAGCAGTGGGAAATTTTAAAATCTCTCGCGCTGGCTGCTCGGAGGTGAATAGTACTTGCTAATCACCTCGGAGTTAACCAATCAGAGTGTGCAAAAAGCACTATTTACTTGTGTGGTACATACTAATTAAAGTTACGTGTGGTTTGAAGGCCAGGTTTTCTTTCCTGAAGATGCACTTGTCAAATTATAATTGTTTTATTTAAATAAATGTACCTCTAGCTTCTTGCCTTTGTTACAAGTTAAATTTGGAAATTTAGCAAGTAAAAGCTTGGACATGGTGTTCATATTAATATTTTGAACTTTTTTTCTTAGTCCTTTTGTGTGAAAAATATTGTTAAGATTTTCTTTTTGTGGTTTTAAATGCCTAGTAATACTGTAATATTTTTTTTTACTTGTCTGGCAACATTGTTACAATTTGCATGTTGAAAAACCTTGTACACATTACCACCTGCATTGCAAGATACGGCAACTTGTTGCTCTAAAGGCTGGTTAATTCCAGCTCATAAGCATAAGCATAAGCAGAGTACTCAAACACAGTAAGGTGCTGTTAAATAGCACCTTTTGTTTAGACATTTTCTGAACAAAAGGTGCTTATTATTAAGGTCCATTAGCTGATTCATGTGCGGGCTCACGCGCGGTGCTTAGAAGGTGAAATTTCACTTCCAGTTACTTACATCAGCCTGTGCGCGGAAAATAAAAACAACTCAACAACTTGCAAATTTGCTTACAATTTAGATGTTTTTTCTTTGTGTTTCACAAGATACAAAATAAAAAGAGCACAAGCTAAGACAAAATAAGAAAAAAACAGAAAAACAAGAGCAAAAGAAAGAGAAAAACTAACTCCACGTGGCTTTGTTTAATCTTACCAAAGTGCGCTGGTAGTGTAAATTGTGCACATGCTGATGGGGTAACTTCCAATATATATCCAGTGCACTTCTGCTTTCTTTAAATGCTAAAGGAAAGGCAGTTTTTCATTAAATTGAGCCTTTTTTGATGAGTTTCTATTGAAGCCAACGTTGGAAACATAGCTATGCATTCCTTTTTCAAAATCATGCTTTTTTCAGAAAATTATGAATTTCTCAATATTTTTAAATTCTCTTAAAATCTGACCTTTTAGAGATAAAACAAAATCTATGCATTGAATAATGAGGATTAAAATTGAAATATTAAATCAAAGGAGAAAATCCCAATAAAGTAAATTGCCTGGGAGCCTTTGCATTTTTTCAGTATTAGTCACGTGACCATTTGAGGGCATGGCCTGATGATGTCATCACTGGTGTTACTGGTCATGAAAAAGTTAAAACACATGAAATAACTCTGAACTAACTAAAAAATGATGATCCTTGGCAACGGGTCTAAAAGATCAGTTAAAGGTCCCATAGTGTCTTGCTGATTCTGTGTATGCCGCTCATGTTTACTTGTGTGCTAGTTAAAACCAGCCTTGAGTGGACACAAGCTCTTTGTGAAACATGTTACCCCAACTTAAACCACAGGTTGTAAAATGCACAGCTGCACTTTTTAAGTTGCAGCAAAACAATGTTGTATGGCAAGTTACAGGGAAATGTTGCCCATATTACTTCACTGTAGTGCTGCCTTATCTATTTTTGTATTTGCTACTGTGGAATTGTTTGTATTGTCAGTTTTTACTGACAGTGACACCATTAATCATCATTGCCAGTTTCTGTACCAAAACACCCATGCGTTTATGTCATAAAAGTTCTTTTACCCACCACAACATTTACCTTTTTGCTACTATTATCATTCCTGGGGAATGGGAGAAATAAAGCTTGTTGTTGTCATTGTTTCCTCCCTCTGCGATCACAACTCATAACTGACCAACATCCATAAGCCATCACTTTTCCAAAATACCAAACTTTTGCTTGTGAAGCCTTTACCCATTGGAACCACTTTTTAGTGACCACCTCTTGTATACTTCAGTGGCCATTTCAAGACTGTTTGCATGAAAGTTTCTATTTCTTTGTATTTCTGTTTTTCTATTTCACATGATCTGGCCTTCTAACCCCGCCATTTGGGTAACAAGAAACCTTACAGGCCTGTCTTAAATGTGGTCCGTCATACAGAGGTCCCCTTCCTCTCCCCAAGGGAACTCACAGGCTTCACACTTTAGGTGGTCACTTTCAGGAGTGCTTGCCTGTTTATGATTAGAATTTAACAGGGGTCCTGTGGGGAATGTGCAGACCAATCTTATAGTTGTTGTTATGTATTAGTTTACAAGTTTATTTGTTTGTTTTGTTGTTGTTCAAAAAAAATCAAGTTTAATATCTGTTTCCTGCTTTGAAATTTACAGATGATGATGAGATTGAAACTGATAGTGGTGACTTGTCGCCAACCTTGATGTGTGGCTCACCAAGTCCAAGCCCTAGTGATGTATCTGATGAGTTCTCATCAAGTTCATTAATGGCATGTACACAGCCTGTTCATCGTGTCTCTACAGCTTCACAGACTTCCTTCCTATTTCCATCCCTCACTTCCTCTACAAATAATAAGCTTCCATTTATTGACCTGTCTATGTGGCGGCGTGAAGAAATATGCTGTGGCACCATATTCAGGGGACCTCATGGAGAGGTCCTTGTGGACCCCAAGCTTCTGAACCCTATGTGTACATGCTCTTGTAGTGCGAGGCCCCCTGTAAATATTGGTGAGGCAAAGAGTGTTCAGTAGTAGTAGGCAGATCCTGTCCATTACAAAGTGCATTTTGTATACATTCACTCATAAATTAGCTAATGTAAGCTATGTACGTGATTGACCATATGTCCCTCATCCAGCATTGTCTTGAATTACCATTTCATGTTCACCTGCAATACCCTGATTGTACCCAAACAGTTCAAATTAATGATTTCAGTTACAGCTGATCACCACCATAAGAGTTAGACACCATAAGAGCTAGACAAAATTCAGCATTCTTGAATGACCAATTTTTTAAATACATAGTACATACATGTAGAACATACAGGATTGACACGTCAAAAGACATTGATGACGCATTATTGTCAGAGAAACAATACTTTGAGTTTACTCTGCCAGTTTGTCAATAACAGTGGTCACATTTCATTACACATGGATTTAATGTATTGTAAGGTGACACAATGACATCACCAACTGGCTTTCTGTTTTATGTAGTGTAACAGCCTCTGCAACTGTAACACTTAACAGTGATGGCCCTCTTGGGTGCCTCAGGTTATTGGTTCAACTGATAGTATTGTTCCGTCACCTCACATTCATGTCTGTAGAGAATGACAGCGAAGGGTATCACCCATGAGAATGGGAATCTATAGCTAGTTTAGCTCAAAACATGAATTGTCCTTATTGATTATGGTTAGTTTTATTGGAAGGTAAACGTACTTCATATTGTAAGGAGAAATTGAGTGATGGTTACTGTTGGGAAATCAGAGGGTGGAGGCTTTATAAGCTGCCAATATTATGAGTGTTTGATACTTCAAATGACTCTTTTTAGAGTGTACATGAAACTTGGTAAACTAAGGTACCAAGACCTTTATACTGATTAGAAGGTAAACAGTATTACAAACAAAGTTTGGATCTTGAAACTTGGCTCTTTACATTCCAAGATTTCATGTAAAATATGTCAAAATGAACAGGTGCAAACTGTTCTAAGTACCGCTATCCACTATTGTTTATTTTTATTGTCCAACCTTTACATTATAGATAGTGTCGGCAATTAGCTTTGCCGCACCAATGACAGCTTTCCTTGTTAATTTTTCAGAATGTTCTGTTTATTCCCTTTTTGTGTTTACAGGTATATCCTTTTTTAAGAAAAATGTACATTTGGTTTTTCAGTTACATTTTTATGAGAATCAAAAATAGATTTCATTCCTTTTTTTTGGAATAACGAGAAGAATAAGATGAAGACATCACGTCTTCTATTCACATTCTTCATCTTATTCTTCTTGTTATTCTAACACATTCCCAGCCTCGTTGAGTCAAATTTCCCATTTCTTGGAAATAAGAACAGAAAAGCTTTGCTTTTTTCCCTGGCAAAACAGTTTCTGAGAGTTCTTATTGAGAGAAACAAACAATACTTTAAAGGCATCGTTAGGGTTATTATTGAATTGATTTCCCACATTTAGCCAAGCACATATACCCAATGTGGTTACCACTGAAGCTGCATGTGCTATACTTTATTGATATCCCTGACAATATGCAGTAACACTGACATGGTTAGTCTTGTAGCCTTGTAACTGTGTTTGATACTAGACATGACAACTCATGCCCTGGGACTGCATTTAATACTGTGTGTTAATTTCTTGTTGTTGTAATGTGATACGGTGATACTCAGTGTAGTGTGATAATTAGCTGTACTTACTCAGACATTTGGAATTGGGATAGTGACTACAATGTATGATTATTATAGGTGTGTTATTGTAACATGAGATTATTATTACATTTTCAACCTCAGATAATGCACTTTGTAGCTTAAACTTCTTGAAGTATCAGCAATCACATGCACATACTTATTTGAAATGGATCTCCAACATGTTAGTTGTCACATACAATATAGTGTCTTAACATGCATAGTTACAGACCACACAGCAATACAAACATTACAACATAGCGTTCAATAACAAATCCCTGTGATAAACACGCACTTTCTTAATTTACTTTACTGTACAAAATACTTGAAAAACCCTTGTATAAATAATTTAATTATGTTCAATTGCTGTTCACAGTTTGTCTTTATAAATTTTTATTCCTTTTTTAACTCCGTGAACACACTAACAATCTTACATGCATTGTAAATAGTTTGTCAGTCACGCATGACAAGTAGTGTACACACTTTCATAATATAGATACATGTTCATAAACATCTCTGTTATGTTGTTATGGAGTGAGTTTCTAGCAGAGTTTGAAAGTAATATGGCTTGCACTGAAATTTTGTAGCAATAAGTAATAGTTTAGTCCAAGTGTGTATAGGGTTTGGGGGGGGGGGGGTACTCCCTCATATGGGCTATACAGGTATGTGCGGCCCCAAAGGGTATGGTTTTTCAGCCATTTTGGTCATAAATAGGGTATCAATTTCAGCCATTTTGGTCCTAAATACAGTGCTTTCAGTAAGACCTGGCCCCCGCCGGAGCTCCAGCAGGTACTCTCTTGTGAATCGCCAGCTGTATTCATGCATTAATGTGCTCTTAGAAAACAGCCCTAAGAAAATACGTGCGCTGATTGGTTAAAAATGGTGTTTTTGTAACTTGATGGAAACAAAGAACTAGCACAAGCTGTTGACGTAATGATGGCATGAGCAAAGAGAATTTTCATTTGATGATCAAAGTAAACAAGCTGTTTTTCTATTTTTCGTCGC